GCAAAATTATTATTTGAATGGAGATATTTTTAATTTTTGTCTCTCCATTTATAACGGCTGTTATTACGATGAATAACAAAAGAAAAACAGCACGCAGCTTGTGTACATGTAAATATATTTTAGTTTTTATTAGATAAATTTGCATTTATTTTAGTTACTAAGTAAATTGGAGGAAGTGTGTTACGGGCTGCAGTGAGAAAGGATGAATCGGAAGGAACGGATCTCGAACGGTGAGTAAATAAAAAAAACGTTAAATAGTGCAAAAACCCCAATTTATAGTGTTAAAATCGCACATCTAGATTAGCCACAACTGCAATGACCATGATGGTGCAAGGTATAGGTGGGGAACCTTGATCCTACCCTAATTTTTTGTGAGAGGTTCATGCAAAGTTGATGTCCTCAAAAATATATTCTTGAAGTCATTGCCCTAGTTCGAAGTATAGGACTAGTACCTTGCCATTTTGTTTGCGGCCAGGGTACCAATTTTCAAAATTAAGCTAATTTGTTAGTTGTTTAATGTCACGGCCTTTTTTCAATGATAATTGTAAGGAAATATGTTTTTTTTTTACGATAGCCCGCTTATCAAATTGTAGTCGAAACTGCTTTCAAAATCTGAAAAAAAAGTTTATTTTAAAAATTGTCACGTAAATTGGTTGGATATAGTCCATTTTTATAAAATCGAATTATGGATGGGTGCATATGTAAATTAACCTATGCTAATATTTACCAAATACAACTTGTATGACCTTCCAATACCTTCCAAACAATGATGGTTAAATTCGCGTCTCAAGCGTTGAGTTATACGCCCGCTTCTGCTACGCTATCCCTTTACAGCTCGGGAGCAAATAGCGTGAGCTTTATTAATACCTCGGAGCTCATTTTTATTTTTTTTTAATTAATAATTCGATATTTTTAATAACAGTTTCATTGAGGCCATGTACCCACTAAATAAGTTTTTGTAAGTTCCTCAGAGCAAAAACAGTTTCAGATGAGGGAAAAAAGTTTTAAAAACAATTTGGGTCGTAGATGAGTTAGGAAACAACAAAAAATTATTATCAATTTTTTCAAGGGTTGGTTAATTAATATAAATAGTTTACGACGGTTGTGCCAATTGCTGTCACAGTCAGGAGTTCCATAAGTAAAGACAAGGCGACCTTGCCAGGACAGCTTAAACCGGTTTTTTTTTGGTCAGGTTAGAAGTAGGGGAGGTACCAGAGTAACACCTTTCATGTTTTCTAGTTTATTTAGGAAATCGTGGGGTTAACTTTACCTAAATATCGTAACCAAAGGTAACTGTGAGGACCAGAACCAGAAGCTACAGTAATTTCAGAACTTAGCAATAATGTCCTCTTAATGTGTGCAATGATTCTCTTTTAAATGACCTTCCTTGACAGGATTTCCAATGCTTACCACGGCCGCAAAACTGTATTGTTAGATCCATAACTAAGTGAGTTATTAGTAGACGATTTATCGAGAAATCCATTACAATTGGTAACAGAAGTGGGATCGTCAAATAAATTCTCAAGGATTTATTTAAAAATGGCCAAGTTTAACGATCTGAAGATTCGACAACTAGAAAAGAAGCTGGAGCAACAAGCGTTTAGAGAAAGTTAGTCAGCGGCGTAGGAAGCGTTTAGAGAACGTATTGTAGGCGCAGGTGAATTTACAAATAGCGGAGATGTCATCACATAGGATGGCACAACAATCCCAATTGTCCTCACAGTTGGAAGAGTAGGAAGTATGCATACCAGTACAAGCGTCCACACAGTCGAAAGAGATGAACGTGCGTGTGTCAGCGCAGGTGTCCTCACAGTAGGAAGATCAGGAAGCGTGTGAACCAATATACAGAAGGAATAGTCACAAAAGCATATTAGGCAGAGCGGAGCAGTTTAATGTTGATGTTTGGCTGCTTGCAGCGAGTACGGAAAAGCGAAAATGGGCAAAGCTTCCGAGTAGTGAAGTTCTTAGCGCGCAGTACAAAGGTCCAAAAGGAGGGCACTTGAGAATCACGAAAACCATGGAGAAATTGAAGCAAGGGTTTTATTCGACTGGTTGTCGTCAATATAGAGCTATAGAGTATTGCGAAATATGCTGAGTGCATTGTAGCTAAAGGGTCAAGGTCTAGGAGTCATGGATAGATGAAACAGTGAAATTCGGGTGCGCCAGTTTAGCAAATTGGCGGGTAAGAGTGGTCCATTTCAAACCAATAAATTAGGAAATAGTCAGAAGTATACACAATTCCTAATCAAGAGGCTGAACCAGTGGTGGACGCATTCATCAACAAGTGGGTAACGAGATTCGGTGTTCCAATGGAGTTCGTTATGATCAAGAATGGAATCCCGAGTCAGCTTTAAATCAAGGGATGTACCAAAAACTGGGTATCCGGAAAACGGATGGAATTAACTCCAAGAAGAGAAGGACGGCTAAGAAAGTTAACACCAGCCTAGAAGACGAGATGGGGGACATAAAAGCTTTGTGTTTGGTATCGCAAATATGTCTAATCGTGACGATCAGACTTAGGTGGAGGGCAGTGTGACGAACACGGATGATAGAACAAAATCGAACCGCCGATAAATTGCCAGACTATTGCTGTCTAGATATTGATAGAATATTCAGAATGTTCACGAAATAAGTATGCACAAACTAAGAATCTTTGTTTTAAATCTTTACATTTCATATGATTTTTTTTTTAATATTAAACCCAGAGATTAATTAATACAAAATAAAAAAAAAAATAGTTCTAATTAAGAAAAAAGACAGAAGAACTATTCTCTTCGTACGAAAAGAGTATAGCGTACAAACAAATATTTCATTTAAGTCAAACTTAATTAATTTAATAATTTATTTAGTTATCGTTAACTAGCTTAATAGCATTTACACGTCTTGACATGGATTCAATCAGGGAGAGAAGGGTGGAAAGCGGTATTTTTTTCCATTCGGCTTCAATGCACTTTCTGAGTTCCCTCAAGGAATAAAATTGACGACCACTGGAATAAGCTTGTTGCGAAAGTATATCCTCATAAATTTTCTATTGGTTTTAAGTCGGGACCAACGGCCGGCCAATCCATTAATGGTATATTTCTATCTGAAAAGAAACGCTTTGTTGCAGCTGCATTGTGTATAGCAGCGTTATCTTGTTGGAAAATCCATGATTCCTCGCAAAACCGTTCCGAAAAGTCTATTAAAACGTTCAATGTAATTCATCGCATTCATTTTATGTGTTATAAAACATATTGGAGTTGCCATTAATTGTACCTAAAAGCTCCCAATACTATGAGGGATCCCCCTGAAAATTTGATTCCAGTGGTCGTCGAATATTTCTCTAATATTTGTCGTTACTATTGGGGCCATCTAGAATAAATTTTTTTTCGTTACTAAAAACCACTTTTTCCATTCATCGTCCCACAACAAGTGCCTTTGAACATAATGCTTCCTAGCAGTTTTTTGACGAGGGTGCAGCTTAGGTGAATCAGTTGGTTTAGCATACTGGATGTTGGTATTTTCTTTTAAAATTTGCTGGATTCAACGGGTGGACACTTTAAAAATAATTGGTGCTTAATGTTTATTGGGGAAATATTTTTATTCACTGCCAAATGCTTTATTTTCCACTTCGACCGTTCATTAACTTTAGCGGAGGTCCACTTCTTTTTATTGTTCCATACTTTTCGTGGTTTTTTTAAAAAGGAAGATATAGGTTTTTCATTACGATGTAATAAAAATGTCGGCTTTATCTCTAATTTTATCACAACATTTTAGCTTTGTCTGGATTTTAGTGCGCTCATCATCTAACAAATAGGTTCCACGTGACATTTATAAATAAATAACTGAGTAAACAGCTTTTTAATGTTCGAAATTCCCTGATTTTAATAATCATGGAAAGAGAATAACAGAAAAATCAGCGAAAATGAGAGGGTCTCGCATCATGTCATCCTTGCTTACTGTACGCTATATTTATTTCGCTCTGAATAAGCAAGTTGGTAAATAAAATAGTAAGTAACGGTCTTTAAAAACCTTTGTGCTACTAACAGTAAATCACTAACAAAGAACAACCTTGTCGCAATTGTTATATATACATATATATTTAAGAAAAAAACTCATGTGGGCTTTGATATATTCAATTTCTTAGTTTGTACCAGAGATAAAAAAAAATGCCCAACTCATCTCTCACTGGAAATGAGAGCGCAATTGCTAAAGGTCAACACCTCCTGAACTCAGGCAACTGTCAAAGTTCAGGAGGTCTGACGTTTAGCAATTGGAAAAAGAGGGACGGCCAGATTGAAATCCTACAGAAAAATATGTGAACAGAGGCATTTGTTGCTGCTGTTGAAGATCACTTATAAAAATTGTAAAACAACGAATTCGAAAGAAAAAGCGAAATTGAAATGTAAGGGATGAAATCTTTTGTGATACCATGCTAAGTAGTATTAATTTTCTATTGAAAATAATAAAAAAAACATTTATTAATTGACATCTAATATATTAATTCTTTTGATTAAGTATTGGAAGTTCAAACATCAATTGTTTTAATATATTACAAAATCACAAAAAAGAGTTTAAATAGTTTATGCATGTGTTTAAGGGATATATGTATAATAATATTTAATCTAAATAAATGTTGTTTATTTTAATATAAATTTCCAAAAATTGTTATTTTGTCCGATCTGGCTACAGTAGGAAATGTTATAAAAAAATGCCTGGTACAAACCAGGTATAGTGGGATGACCAACTCTTTCCAGTGTGAGAGCGCCTCAAAATTAGCGTTTTTTGTAACATTTTCCACCGTAGTCAGATGGAACAAAATATTAATTTTTGGGCATTTCAATTATAATACCCAACATTTATTTAAATTTAATAATTTTATACATGTATTCTTTAAACATATGGAAAAACTATTTAAATCCATTTTTGTAATTTTATGATATTATATATTAAAACAACTGATTTTTAAACTTTCAATACGTAAAAAGTGAAAAAATGTGAAGCATGGCACCAGAAAAGAGTTTATGATACACATTTCAATTTTGCGTTTTCTTTAATGTTGTTTTCCAATATTTGTTACTGATCTTCAACAGCGGCAACAAATCTCTCTGTTCACGTATTTTTCGGTAGAACTTCAATGTGTCCGTCCGTCTATTTCCAATTGCCAGAGGTCAGGTGGTTTTGACATTAGCAATTACGCTCTTATTTCCAGTGAGAGATGAGTTGGGCATCTCTTTAAAACTGATTTCAACGTTTAAACACGGTGTTATTGTTATGTTGCTAGGCTTGCATTTCTTGAGGAGAGGTTATTATAATTTAATAAATAGAATGGAATATCCCATAGCCCGGAAAGATTTTTCATATGTGGATAAGGTCCATGGCGAAGAATTGTTTGATGTCTATCGTTGGTTAGAAGATCCAAATGCCGACGAAACAAAAATATTTATTGAAAAGCAAAATAAAATTAGTAAAAACTTTATCGAGGAAGGGAGTGATAGATGTCGCATTGAAAAAAAACTGACAAAATTATGGAACTATCCTAAATATAGCTGCCCAACAAAGCATGGAGAATATTATTATTATTATGTTAACACTGGATTACAGAACCAGAAGTAAAATAGTTTTTGAAAGCCATTTTATTTATTTAAAAATATTTCTTTGCTGTAGTGTTCTATTTCAACAAAAGAAGCGTGGGGATGAGCCGAACGTTTTCTTGGATCCCAACAAATGGTCAGAGGATGGAACAATCGCTTTATCCCAAAAGTCTTTTTCAGACGATGGGAATTACATGGCGTATGGAATAAGTGAAAATGGGTCAGACTGGTTAAAAATAAAAATTCGTGACGTTAAATCAGGCGATGATCTCAAAGAGACGTTAGAAAAAGTGAAATTTAGTGAAATTTCTTGGACTCTCGATAACAAGGGTTTTTTTTATGCCGTACGTCACCCGTATAAATATTTGTAAGCATCAATAAAATTTAATATTTTACAGAAATATGATCAAGTCGAAAGTGCAGATGGGGCAGAAGTAAAGCAAAACGAAAATCAAAAGCTTTATTATCACTATGTCACTAAAAACCAGAATGAAGATATCTTGGTCGCAGAGTTTCCTGAGGAACCCTCTTGGCGAATGTGAGTAACTTCTAATATTAATATTGCATACTTCTAGAAATACAGTAAACCTAAAGCTAATAAAACAATGTAATTACTTCATAAAACAATTTACCTCAATACGTTAGGATTAAAAGTTAAATCTGACATAAATAAAAAAGGTAAACTTTAGTATACCATCCCATATTATTTTTAGGGTTATTACACTTTTTTAAAACGCGCTCTCGAAATTTGTAAAAACCAAAGGTGCAAATAATTGCGAAAATAAATTTGCATATTTCAAAGCCGTGGAAAAATCAGAAAAAGTGAATCAGAGGGAAGAAATCATTAATAAGGGATATTGGAACTATACCAAAACCGAATGCTATTCACCATTTTTTACCAGAAATATGGGAAAGATCTGGGAAAACTTTAGTATACCGTCCCAGGCTTTCGGGTATAAAAGAGGTATGAGCGGATAGAGGAGATCCTCCAGATCAAGAAAATATATTGACATAGCTACGGGAAATATAGTTTTCGAGATATTTACGATTAAAGTTGAAAATTTCAACTATTTAATTTTTATTCGCTTTCAAATGTATTACTTATATTTTTCACTTTTTTATCCACTAACACTTCACTAATTCGTTTGTACACATTTCATTTATATTATATAGTGTAAAAATAGTTTAATTCAATATATAAATTATTGTTAAATTCTATTAATTTTGACAATAATAGAAGGGTTGCAAAATGTCAAATAACCAGTGTTACCTTATCGACATCTTTTGTAATTGAACTGAAAGAAATGAAAACAGATAATACCCCAAATACAGGAGTCCAAAACCTAGAAAACCTACCTAAACCTGAACTACAAGGTGCGTTCTAAAGTAAACAGGACTTTTAAAAAGAAGACAGAAGAAATGGTTTTATCGGCAAAATCAATTAATTTTACTCAAAATAGTCTCTTTGCTTTAATACAGCTTTTTGCACGGTCCAAAAGCATGTCGAACGAGTGTTTTAGCTCGTGCCAACTTCCATCTTCGCGATATTCGGGTCGATCACGTCGAATACGGAGCACCAAACGCTTGAAAATTCCAAGTAGAATACCGTATTAACGTTTTTCCCGAGTGGAACAAATTCTTTGTGGACAATACCTTTGGAATCAAAAAACAAATCAGCATTGTCTTCACGACCACTTTGAAAACGTTGAAACCACTCGTGTACTTTTACCAATTTTAAAACAAAATTTAATGTTGGCTCTTTGTTCGAAGCTCATTTTCGCACCGATGACAAAAACATACTGACACTTAAAACGCAATAACTTCACTTCCTACTTTCTTCTAACGCACAAGTCGACATATAGATGGCGACACTAGAGTTTACTTTGTTACTTTTACTGTTTACTTTGGAACGCTCCTTGTATTAGAAAGCATTGATGTTATACCCTCTATGACAATATTACTTTTTCTTGTAGAACTTCATTTTGCGTTGTCGGCCTTCGGCCGCGCTTAAAAAAAACCCTGGTCGGTCCAACACCGGGGTGTACCAAGGTCTTTTCGCGTAGAACTCCTTTTTGAGTTGGCGGCCTTCGGCCGCGCTTCAAAAAAGATAACCCAAGTCGATCCAATACCGAGGTTTTTTTGCGCAGAACTTCTTTTTGCGTTGGCGGCCTTCGGCCACGCTTAAAACAAATGACAAATGGCAATACTGGTTTTCTGACTTCTACAACCCTTTTTTTTATTGTCAAAATTAATAATGCAGCATATAATATAAAAAAATGTCTACAAACGAATTAGGGAAGTGTTAGTGGATATAAAAGTGAAAAATATAGGAATATAATTCATTTTAAATCGAAAATACGTTGATCTGGAGGACCTTTTCTATCCCCTCATACTGGACGGTATCCTAAAGCCGACCCAAAGATATTTAGAGTGTTCGATCGGGGACATCAAGAAGCATTCCGTGATGGTCCGGAATGCAGTGGTTCTGACAGGTCCGTAGCTTCTTCGTCTGCGCAGCGCTACATCGAGGCGACCATATTAGGGCTGCATAATTTAAGACCGGCCGGCCGATTGTCTTGTATGTTGCCAGCAACGTTTGTTTGTCTTTTCCCCAAGAGCTGCCGGCAAGCGATTTGAGGATTTTGTTGCGGCTCTGTACTTTTGCAGTTATCGAGGTTGTATGAGGTGGAAAGGAGCACAGACTGTCCAATTTAACGCCTAAAATTTTAGGGTTATTGACTGCAGGGTTGCTCCGTATCCTCCTGACCCGTGCTGGCATCGAGTACAAACTGGGCCCCGAGGAATTTTCTGCTGCGTTTGCGCTAAAAGGCTCCATCCAAACTCCACCTCTGTTAAGTGCAATACATGCAATGGATGGAGTTATGTTGTTGTTGTTGTAACGGTTACCTAATCCCCGTTTGGGTGATAAATTCTAGATTCGTTGTCGTCGATGTCATCTAACGGAAGGCCCAGGAAACGAGCTGTTTCGACGGGGTCGGACCATAGGGAGAGGGGTGTTAGATGAGTGGGGTTTGTTGGGCATGCAAAGACGTGGTTAGTGTCATGCGGAAACTCATTGCATGCAGGACATGTGTTTGGTATGTCAGGGTCTATTCTGGATAGGTAGGAGTTTAACCTGCTACAGTATCCAGAACGAAGTTGCGCGAGGGTCACTCTAGATTCGCGAGGCAACTCGAGCTCTGTGTCTGCAATGGGTGGTGGTTTGACACGTATTACGCCATTCACTGAGAGGGAGTCGGTGAAGGTGTTAATGGCTCCACTGTGAATGGCGGTCAGTGCCTGTCTGAAGTTAGTTGCGTCCGAAGTCTGGTCGGCGTACTGTCTAATGTCGTCGACGTAGTCAAGGAAGGACCTCTTGATGTTTCTAGGAGGCGGCTCCACTACAAGCAGGCGACTGCAGGGGTGGTTTCTACGAAAACATCCCAGCAGAAACTGCTTGGAGAGGAGGTCGTTATGTTCCTTAACCGGAAGCATACGGGCCTCACTATGTAGGTGTTCGATTGGAGACATCAAGAGGCATCCCGTGATAGTCCGGAGTGCAGTGTTCTGACAAGTCTGAAGCTTCTTCTTCTGCGTGTCACTGCATCCAGGCGACCACATTGCGGCTGCATAATTAAGGACCGGCCGGCCGATTGCCTTGTATGTTGCCAACAACGTTTCTTTGTCTTTTCCCCATGAGCTGCCGGCAAGCGACTTGAGGATTTTGTTGCGGCTCTGTACTTTGGCAGTTATCGCGGTCGTATGAGGAGTGAAAGAGCACAGACTGTCCAAAGTGACGCCTAAAATTTTAGGGTTATTTACTGTCGGAATTTTTGTGCCATCGACTGAAATGTTCAGGTCCAGTCTGTACTCCTACGTCCAATTTGTGAAGATGGTCGCTGTGGATTTGGTTGGGGAAAGTGTTAGGTTCCTTGCACGAAAGAAGCGAGAAAGATCGGAGAGGTAGCCGTTTACTTTTGAACACATGCCATCGATTCCATTGCCCGACGTCAATATCGTACAGTCATCAGCGTACGAGGTCATTGAAACTCCCGCTGGTGGCTGGGGAGTTTTGAAATATAGAAATTAAACAGAAGCGGGGAGAGGACACCGCCCTGCGGAACCCCCTGTTTAATTTTCCTGAGTTTGGACTTTTGACCTCGAAACAGTACGGATGAATACCGACCGCTCAGGTAGTTCATAGTCCACCGCTTCAGCCCTGGAGGGAGCGTTGATTGTTCCAGGTCCTCAAGTAGCGTTGCCTGATTGACTGTGTCAAAAGCTTTTGACAAGTCCAACGCTACGAGGATCGTCCTCTCGAAGGGTGGCTTCTGGTTCAGGCCATGAACTATCTGGGCGTTTATGACGCTAAGTGCTGTAGTGCTGTGGTGGTACCGGAAGCCATGCTGATGGTCTGCTAGGCTCAGGTAGTGGGTGAATGACGGGAGTAACAAGGCCTCAAGTGTCTTCACTACTGGGGAAAGGAGAGTTATCGGGCGATAAGACTCCCCTTTGTTGGCGGGTTTTCCAGGTTTCAGCAGTGGTACCACTCTTCCGACTTTCCACACATCGGGTATTTGAAGAGTGGATAACGGCAGGTTGAGGACCTTGGTGAGGTAGTTTACTCCCGTTGGGCCTAGGTGTTTTAACAGCAGCATGCTTATTCCACCAGGGCCGATGGATTTAGACGATTTCGCCTTTTTGATGACACTCTGAACCTCCCCATCGATGAAAGTAAGTGGTGCGCGATCAAAGGGTGCAGTGTAAACTACCAGCTAAAATAGCTTGCGCACTTCTTCGGGTCCGAGGAGGCATGGCCATCGAATTGAATTTCAACCCGATCGTCATGTCTCCTTGGATTTGACAGGGCCTTGACAGTAGTCCAAAGCTTACTCACACCGATGGAGACGTTGCAGGACTTCAGGTGCTCTATCCATTTTGTCCGCTTATGATGATTTACCATTTGCCGAATCTCCAAATTGAGATCCCTTATTCGGGGATCACAGGGATCGGCATGGCGCAAGGTGTCGCGCTCATTTGCTAATACAGCTGCCTCGGCTGGGAAATTGGGGCGGAGTTCCGCGATTCTTCCAGCCGGTATGAAGCGAGCAGTGGCAGCAGCGATCACCTTGCGGAATTGACGCTCGCCAACGATGACGTCCGTAGGAATGGATAGTGCGTTGATGGTGCTCTCAGTAAAGCCGACTCAGTTAGCTTTGTTAAAGTTAAGCACATAAGTGCGGTTGTCCACAGAAATAAAGTCAGGAGGTTTCTCGATCGAGATAATTATGGGCAGATGGTCTGATGCAAGAGTTAGCATAGGTCGCCAGGTTATACTATTTATCAGACCATCTAGCGATGGTAATATCTGGCGAGCTATTACAGGTGCCCATAATTCTGGTGGGGGCTTCGTCATTCATTGTGAAGAATGTCGAATCGTCTATCTGTTCCGCCAGCTCCATCCCCCTACGATCGTTTGACAGGCAGGAATGCCAAAGATCGTGATGCGCGTTAAAGTCGCCTAGCACCAGACGGTTT